ATTATATGACGGCTTATGAAATATCTTTTTTTTAATTGTCATGATTTTTGGGATGTTACATGAGGTTTCCTGTTATTACAGCCTCCTGGAATTGGATCTACAAGGTACTCGAAACTTAAATGGCTTCCTTACTCAAGTACTCTATAGAATCAAGTAGCTTAGCAACACTACACGATAAGATATCAAATGTTGGCTTTAGATTATTAAATTAACCTAACCCTCTTTCACTATTGTATATGGTGATAATCGAACTATCTTGATGCAACTTGCCAACAACCAATGTACAATCGAGACATTGATAGAAAATATACCTAACCAACTAAAAACTGAATTGCAAACTATAAGTTTAATAATTATAATATTTACTAAGTAAACTCATTTGATCAATGGTCTACTACCAGGCAGGCTGGTGATGGCTTTGGATCATCCGACATGTTTTGTATAAAGAAATGTGTTGGTATGATAGTCTAATTGGTTATGCATTGATATTAATATGTTACCGTTGAAAATAATTCATATATATATATATATATATATATATATATATATATATATATATATATATATATATTAACCGACAAATCTAATATAATCTTAAACTAACACCTAATTTCATATATGTCCACAACGAGACTTGGACCTTTGACCTCAAAGAGGAAGGGCAACACTTAATACCACCGGACTAGAAACATTTTGGTTCAAATCTTTATCTAGGTCTGGAAAAAATTAAATATCCAAATATTTTATTATGTTTATTTTTCAAACATTCTAATTGGTTAGTATTAAGAATTAAGACTTAAATTTATAATTGGTTATAAGAGCGTGTATGACTTAAATTAAGACTTAAGTTCATTCGTACGACAGAATGAACTTTTAACTTTTGGGTTAAACAAAAAGATTTAAATCCAAAAGTTACTTCAATTAGCATTTAACAAAAAACTCTTTTAGATTTTAACAAATTGGCTTAAACACCATTTAAAATAAATAAATCATATTCATACATTTGATAATTATCTTATATGACTAAATATAAATATATTTTAGAAATTATGATGTCTTTTTCTAAATAATCATATCAACGGATTTTATAATTTATTAATCTTCATCTAATAAAATAATAAATATTTATTATATGAATTTATAAACCAAAAATTAATATCATACAATAATATTGTTTTTGTAGAACGCCAAAACACTTGTAATATGTAAAAAAAATATTTGGTCTGAGTTCTTATAAAATTGAAAATTCCTATTTACTTTATTTGTAAAAAAATTATCATTTTCGTTATAATTGACGTACTAGCTGAAAAACTAATTGTTAGCTGAAAGACTAGCTGATATCAGAAAACTAGTTGCTATATGAAAAATTAGGCGATAGCTGAAAAACTAACTGGTAAAAAAATAACGTTTGTTAAAAGTAGCTGATAAGCTAGCTCAAAGATATAAATTAACATAAAATGCATTTAGAGGAATATGGTTTTTATAATTAATTAAAGATATATTTGGAAAATTATTAAAAAAAACTCCTAAAAATTTGTATAAGTAACTTATTAAAAATGTAGCTTATAAACTAAAACTACTTTTGGTTTGCCAAAATGACAACTTAAAAAACTCGAAAAATAAGTTAATTATGCGTGTAAAACACAACCTTACTAAAATGGATAAAAAAAAGTTTTTACCTTACTAATATGGATAAAAAAAAAGCTTTTACCTATGGAGAACCTTAATTGATGCACTTCGTACTATAATTTGGATGATTTTTTACTTTTGATAAATATAGTTTAGAAAAATTATTTTATCATCATTATATTTTAATTTTAATTATATCCATACGTCATTTAATGTAATTTTATATATTTCAAAAGCTTTTAACTAATTGTGTCGAACACTTTTATACAAATAAAAGCTACAACTTTTAGCTACCAACTATCAGTTTCCAGTTTAGAGCTACCGTTTTCAAGCTATTTTTACCGAACACACCCTAACTCTATGATAATTAACATGTTGAAATTAGTTAACTAATATTCAATGTTTGGATTTAAAACTTGCACAAAAAAATAAAAACCTATAATAAGTAATTTAAGTGAAAATTTTATATATTGTAGACAATAAATTATTTTAAACAATGTCAATATTTTAAAGGACAAATTGCAAGTAAGTCACTATATTACCATAAATTTTCGATTTTGACATCGAGTTATTTTTTTCTCAATTGTGTCACTATATTTTTAATTTTGTTGCAATATCAAGTTATCAACCAAATGACCGGTTCTTTCTGTTTTCTCGGTAACTACTTTCCCAAATTACAATACAGTCATTAAGTTCACCAAAATTTCGATTTTGGCACCAAGTTTCAAAATTTAAGAAAGTCAATATATTATCACAAAATTTCGCTTTTGACACCAAGTTTTTCTTTTCTCAATTATGTCAGTACATTTACAATCTTGTTGCAATGTCAACCAATTAACCGATTTAGGAGATGTTATTATGGTTTAGAAACTCGATTTAGAAACTTGATTTGCATCACAAATACATGAATGTCGGTCCAATGGTTCAAACTCACTTACAAGTCAGCAAAAAGGGCATAGTCACCCTTTCAAGAGATGTTATTGTGAATTAGAAGCTCGATTTGTACAAAAAATAAATGAAGACCCTACAATGTTGATTTAATGGTTCAAACTCACTAAACATCTCCTGGATCGACCTTGTAGGGGTAATATAATGACTTTCTTGCAATTTAAAACTCGGTGTCAAAATCGAAATTTTGGTAAACTTAGTGACTTTATTGCAATTTAGGAAAGTGGTTACCGGGAGAACATAGAGAACCGATCATTTAATTGATATTGCAACAAAATAGTAAATATAGTGATATAATTGAGAAAAAAAAATCGACGTCAAAATCGAAATTTTGTGGTAATATAATGTCTTTCTTGCAATTTGACCTATTTTAAATAATAAACATTGATGTTTAATGAAATCTATGTATTTTTTTCTAAATTTATAATATATTATTATTATTATTATTATTATTATTATTATTATTAAATAAAAAAATATATGAAAGGTTTTAAATTAATATATGGGAGTTAATAAATAAAAATTTTAAAATTAATACGGTAAAAGATCAAATAGACATGATATTTTATATTCTCATATATCCCTAATTGATAGCGTGACCAAAATAGAAGCAGGAGTTCATCAACGATGTTTGGAGGGGATTAAGGGGGTTCATCATCGATGACAGTTCAATGACTTGAACTGAAAGCACATATCTTATGAGACTAGACTTTGAATCAACATTGGTTGACCTCTCAAAGATAGTTGCGATGGTAGGTTTCGTTTCTTTACTTGAATTTTTACTGTTATTACAGTCTCAATTATCTAATTTAGTATTTACTAATTTGATCTAATGTAAACATTAATTTTATATTTATGATTTGTTATAACAATATAATTACATATTTTACTTGTGGTTCTATTGTTAGCATCATATTTTTTTAATCCCCCTCTTTTTATTCACTTTTGTTGCAGCACTTTCTATTTTCTGAAAGTCTCCTATGGAAACTTCTCTACCCTTCCAAGGGAGGTAAGACTATTTACATCTAACCTCATATTGGTTTACCTTATGTGATTTGGGGATTGTTGTTATACCAAAAAAAACCAAATTGATCTAAATCAATCTTGTTTCGGTTCAAATTGGTTCTTGATTTGGCCCGATTTTGTTCAAAACCAACAAACTTGTCATTTTTTTTTCAAATTTTCAAACTAGAAATGATGATATTTATAGATTTATCTTTTTCAGATAAAAACAAAACAAAGAAGGTATTCGGTCTATAATCCAACTCATTAGTTTTGTTGGGCGGAAGAAAGTTTCATTTGTTCATAATTACATTGATTCCCCTTTTTGGAATTGTCAGATGCATATTTATACACCTTTTAGCATGTTTTTATTCGTTTTAGATTGAGATATTTACAGAAAAATCTCAAAATTTTGGGAAAAGTTTCAATAAAGTCCTAAAAAAAATTTTTGAACAGAAAAGTCACAATTATTTAACATTTTGCCTAAATTAACGAAAAAGTCATTTTTTATATTTGAACAACAAATGATAGATTATATGATTTTTTTCAAAATAATAAGACTTTTATGTTTAAAAAAAAAATTAGGATTTTTTTGAAACTTTTTCCAAAAATTTAGAACTTTTCTGTAGATATCCCTTTTAGATTTCCATTTCACATAAAGACATCATGAATTTTACACTATTCATCATAAAGACATTATGTTTATTGGAAGAAAGTCAAGAAACCACATTTGGATTTCTGAAGATTGATGACTACACAAAAGATTACACAACCCATGTAAATTTACTCATGAAAGTTTACACGACCATGTAAAAATTGGAGTAGAAATAGCATAGATATATGTACAGTTTATGAGAAAGTTTCTTTGCATTACAAAAAATGATTTGAGTGCACTTTCAAAGGGGTTCCAGAGTAGAAGACAGGGCGATTTTCCGAAGCAACAATATTACTTCAAACATTTGGAACACTTTAATTTTTTTCATCTATACACTTGATTTCATTTTACATCAACGATGGTCCAGTTCAAACTCAAATTATTTAACAAGACTGTTTTTGTTACATGAGACATAAAGTGACATGACTGAATAAGTTTTCTAAAACTAATTTTCATGACGACATTCACATCTTTTGCATTGTTAGATGCATATTAATAGTCAGTATAATTCACCAACAACAAAAAGGAAGAAAGAAAACCAAAGGACAAAGTTTCATCACTTTCCATAAAGCAAAAGAAAAATCAATCCATAAACTACTACCACTTCTACAGATCATGAAGTAAATCAGAAATACAAATATAATAGACACCAAAAGTAATAAATAAAAAACAGATAATCAAAATACCATCTTTTTTTTTTTTTAATCTTTTTTTGAAATTGTACCTGATCCCAAAGAAGTACTATGAGAAACTAATAGCAAGCATTTTAAGGAAGATTTGAGTCAATGTCAAGAAAATCAACCCAAGGAGTCATCATCCGAGTCTGTTGAGTATCCGAACTTTGATTTGACCGATTTGCCCTTTGTCTTCCACTTCTAATGCTTCTTCTTCTAGTAGTAGTCAAACCAATCTCCCTTGACCTGTTTTGACCTCCTCCTCTTGACCTAATCTCTGGCTCATGTGAAGAAGCTAAAAACCCAAACATATTCTCCCAATCATCCATCATCATACTCCCATCAACTTCAGGAAAAATATTATCAAATTCTGTTTCAAAATTAGTCAAGAAGCTCATAAAATCCAAATCAATATCCCACATTGGACTCGCGAGTTCACTCAAACCTTCTAAAACTTGATCAATTGGCTCTTCATTATCATCAAACTCAAATTGCATATTGAAAATGTCTTGATGTTCCATATCTTCCCTTAAAATCCTCCACTCAAGTTCCTTATCAGGGTCCACTTCTGTGGGTCGCACACACGGGTGATCACGCCTCGCGTGTTTCCTCAATTCTGAATAGTTTCCAGTGAAATCACAGGTTCCTGATGAACAAGTTCTTGTTTTCTTGTTCATGAAATGGCGTGCAGGGTCAACTACAATCCATCCATTGATTTGACCTCTGCATAGAGGGCAAACAAGCTTTGTTTGTTGTTGTTGTAAGGAATTAGGGTTCATGTTCATGGTTGACTTTCGAAATTGGTCAAAGCAGTTTGAGTGGCGTGAGCTTGTGTCACACATGTATGGGCGACATCCTTTTTCATGAGAAGAACAAAGAAGAAGGACTGCATTGTGGGGGTGATCTATGCAAATAGGGCATCTAGCTTCTTCCCATTCTTTCTCATTTCCAATTGGTGGAGAGGGGGATTTGGATTTTGTTTTATCAGTTTTCTTGTAGCAAGGTGGATATGGTGATGCCCTAAACCTATCGAGAGATGAAGATCTTCGATCCTTGGGCATCTTGAAGCTTCTAGGAGTTTCTGGTTATGAAGAATGGAGAGAGAGAAAAAATGTAAGTACTTGATCTGATCAGTAACTGATTATATGAATTTGGTTATACAAAAAGATCATAAACTCATTGGGAATGGCATCGGATTCTAATTCTATTCTTTTATGAAAAAAGTAATGATTGCAAAACAAATCCATGCGCACAAATTAGATGGCGATAATTGCACATCAGAATAAGCCGTACAATATGGTAACTTATGTAATTCCAACTGAAGGAATTTGAAGCATGGAATTTAAGGTTCGAATTTGGGATTTTTGAGCTTATTAAGTTAAAATTTTGAGCCGATTTCGCTTAAATTCCAACTCAACGCCCGTGGAAACAGAGTCGCAAAACATAAGATTAGGGTTTCATAAACCAAAAACCTAGTTAAATGATTGTTCAAGCATATCAGAAAAACAACTTTTCATAATCATATTTAATTTTTTTGAATTTTGAACTTTTAGCACGCCAAGACAAAACTTAATCATAGATCAACAGATCATGTCAGAGAGAATCTAAACATCAACAAACAAAACCTAATTAAGACGAATGCGATGTATTTGAGTAATTAAAATATTTCAAACGCTGATCGGCGTTTAATTGGTGAAGGTAGGCAGTAGAAATCAAACCTGGCTGCTAATCGAGGAACCGAATTTGGTGATTTGGTGAAGAAGTTTCTAGTTTTTGCAGCCTCGTGGACTCCTTACAGTGCGTATGCGACATGAATGAACTGTATTTGTTTGGGAAGAGAAGGGTGTTCGGTGTGAATTTACTATAATAACCGTGTAGAAAAGTATGCCGCCCCGTCAGCCACGCCTTTTTGGGGCGGTCAATACCGTCAATCGTCATCATCACTCATCCATTCGCATTTTGGGCTGTTCGTGTACTAAAGGCTAAACCTATGGCCCAAACCATAATGCATATTAACCTTACTAGGGTGTGTATGTTTGCCGTCATATTGTTGCCTATATAATAAGCTATAGAAAACATACAAAGGTTGTAAAATATAATTTATATATAAAAAAAAAACCAAAAACAATAAGATATAAGATGTAAAAGTAATAAAAAGGGTTGATGACAAGGAATGTAACAAACTTTGGTGTTTGTCCATATTTAAATAAGCATGTTTTTTTCATATATGTTTTACCATTAAATTTGTTTGGTTGTTCAAAATAGGGATGTCTATTTGGACCGATTATATCCGAACCGAAATGGAAATTCAAACCGGACCGACCCGAATTAGGACCGAATAAGTTATTTGGGTCGGTTCTCGGGTATCTATTTTAGCCTAATTCGGTTTCGGGTTATTTGGTCCTGATTACCCGAATAAAGGTTTAATCGGGCCAAAATGACCGACCCTGAAATTGATGAATTTTGATAATTAGTTACTACATTCTGTTATCGAATCAAAACTTGTTTTAGGGTCTGAATCAGGCTTAACAAACAGATACTACATCGTTGTCTTTAATTTCATGTGAGCTTCCCGTTTCTGCCTTAACCACTTTTTTCTTTTTGCCAACCCATTGAACTTTTGTACATGTTTGAGCTATGAAATTTCAAATGCTAGTTTCATTATGAACGAAAATTAAATGAATTTATGAACAAAAAGTAGTTTCAGTCGATTACTAGTAGTTATTCAATTTCTAATGGATGTTTAATGTTAAATATTTAATTATGATTATCTATTTAATATTTTTTTCTTGAACTAGATATAATATTTTTTTATTTGGATTATTCGGGTCGTTTCGGTTTATTTGGGTTATTCGGGTCATTTCGGTTTAATTGCATAATGTACATGTTATTTCGGTCCTTTCAGGTTAATAACCAAACCGAAACTGATATTACCCAAACCGAACCGGTCTCGTATTAGTATAATCGGTCCAGGTTTCGGTTCCAAGTTTTCATCCAATTTGGGTATCCGGTTATTCGGGTCCAGTCCGGTTCGGGTCGGTTCCGGCCCGAAGCACATCCCTAGTTCAAAATAGGGTAATATGATTGGTAATTACCGGTGATATTACCATATTATGAATAGGAAAACCAAGTTTACTGGTCAAATGTGTACACAAAAAAACATTGTTAGTGGGTTATAGATCTAGATGAATGGATAATTAGGTTAGGCTTGGGCCTAACCCGTTCAAGCCCAGCTAGTTGTGGGCTAGGCGGTGATGTCAGGCCTCTAAAGCGCATACAACATAGCCTCTTAAGCGCACACAACCTATCCCCTGACTAATTGGGCCTAACTGGGTTGACCCAATACATGACCATCTCCTGATACACATCGATCTAACTTGATCGTCGACACCTGCTCCTAGGTTACAGTCTCTGAGGCGATCTAATGGTTTTGTTCAATAGGTCATTAAACTTACAACTTACATGTCTATTAAGTCATTTTCGTTAGTTTTTAACAGATCTTACGTTAACCAGTTATTATAATTTACAAGAATGGTCCCTATGATTCCAATTTCTTTCATGGTTGGTCCTTTACTAGCATCGTTCGTCACTTGCACCACTACCGTTCTTGAACATGTTGTAAAGTTGCTTGTTCTTGAATATTGGAGCTACCTGGCCTGTTTTTTTGTCTTCCAGTCGATGTAAAGTTGCTTATCTGAACCCGTGGATCTTTGAAAGTTCACAATGTCACCAGCTTTTAAGTTCTTTTCCTTCACGAATCGGATCCAACCTTTGGTTAAAACGTAGCTCTGGCTACTATTCAAGTATGAGTAACGAAATCACGAAATCTCCATACTTTCATCCCGATGTCTTCGAAATGTAAAAGAACTCCTTTGGAAGTGCTTCCACTTTGCAACGGGAAGTGCTTCTCTGCGTGTTGCTTTGGTATCACTAACCGGTTCAGTTTTCCGACGTCACTGGGGGTGACTGTCTTCTCAAAAAGTTGTTCCTAGGCGTTGACCAAGTTGTCACCCGATCTAAACCCGTTTGTAAAAAGGGTTTTGTTTAAGCTGCAACTTCTCTGACTTCGTTCTAGCTCATCATTGTATGTGTGTTTCCTCAACATATCGACGATCTCAGCTTTTTAATGAGAATTCAAGAAACTAGCCTCCAACCTTGCTTCATCGGTGTCAAGAACCATGCTGCCACCACTGCCGATCAGTGGAGGCGTAGTCACCGGTGCTGCAACTGTTGAAGTTGTTTCTGTAGTTGTGCTTTGATCATCGTGGAACTTCCTTCCATTGTAATTAATGTTCTTAAATGAGAGAGAAGCAGAAAGAAGAATGAGGTTCTATATATATATATATATATATATATATTATATATATATATATATATATATATATATATTATATATATATAGAGAGAGAGAGAGAGAGAGAGAGAATATGATGTATATGAAGTGGGTGTAAGAGAAATGTTGAGTATAATAGTTGACGAGGTTGCCCGAGGTGAAGGGTGGTGGTTGCCGGAATTGAACGGTGGTAACGTCGGTGATGAACTATGCTGGTATGGGACCAACCACGAAAGAAATTGAAATCATAGGGAGCATTCTTGTAAGTTATAATAACTGGTTAACGGAAGATCTGTTAAAAAGTAACGAAGATGACTAATAGACATGTAAGTTGTAAGTTTAATACCTATTGAGCAAAAAAATATTTTAGTGACCAAATAGGATGGGCTATAGTAACATTTACCCTCGAATATTATACATTAAAAGACCACCCATATACCAAATCACATATATTAATAGGAAAATGTTGTATGATAATGGGCCGCAAAAACATCAAAAATTTTGAAAAAGAAAAAAACAAGTGTATGACGGGTTCTCTAAGAAAAAAAAGTCAGAGTGACTATGTAAATTTAGATTAACTCGTTCAACAAATTCAACATAATGAGGCTTAACATGGCCTATTAAAGCGATTCGACCTTGAACAAGTGAAAAGAACGAGTCAACTAAGAGCATGTATTTGTCTATTTATGAATCAGATTGAACCAATTGGGTTTAACAAAAAATTGGTTGGACCGTTGACCTAGAACCGAATTGACCATTTGGCCCGATGGTTGAACCTATTTATGAATCAATATTGTAGGTTATGTTTATTTTTTGATATATTTAGATCAATCTTAGAATTTTGTATTTGATAAATAGCAAACCTACAAAATAATAAGTATTAAAAATAAAAATAAACATTAAAACAAATATAAAATGTTCACAAATTGATGCCAAAAATTATGTAATTGATTTTAATGAGCAAATTATATTATAAAACTAATGATCGAAAGTTTGTAATTACCAAATACTTTAGAATAAAATCCTGAAATTCGGGCCGATTTGGTGGTTCAACTAGCTACAAAATAATAAGTATTAAAAATAAAAATAAACATTAAAACAAATATAAAATGTTCACAAATTGATGCCAAAAATTATGTAATTGATTTTAATGAGCAAATTATATTATAAAACTAATGATCGAAAGTTTGTAATTACCAAATACTTTAGAATAAAATCCTGAAATTCGGGCCGATTTGGTGGTTCAACTAGGTGACTCATGACCTGTTCATGACAACAGGTCAACTAAAATATCAAGTTTTAAAACATTGAGCTTAACTCAACATAATGAGACTCATCATAGCACTCATGATAGCAATGCAATATAGTAAAACCATTACAAAACATTTGTTCAAGAAAAAAAAGTGCATGGTAGTGAATTAAGACAGTAAAACCCTTTGATGAACATTAACTTATGGTCATAATTGTATATACATATAATTTGAAAAAAATATATATAATGCAACTAAATTAATCATACAAATATAGATATGTAACTAATTAATATAAATGATCAATTATATTTTATATGTATTACAAATCTTGTAACTTTATATAATATTTAATTTCCATATATAAGGATACGAATTTGTATGTGTTAATGTATTGAGAATGAAATAATCAAGTATTAAATTTGTATATTTTATAGAGATCTAACCCTAAAGTCAATAATTCCTTCTACTTCAATTG